GAAATACAATCTATATCGAAGAGTGAAGTCATTGATTTTCCTACAGCATTTTAAGTCCTCTTCACTTTTAACAAGTAGGGTCCTCAACATAGTTGTTGACATGTCTTCCTCCATTCCTGATGCCCTAGTCTTCTTAGTAAAGTTCATCCTCTTGAATGATTTGCTCAGTCTACATGTTGAACGGGTAATGGAGAAAGGGTACAGCCTTGACACATATCTTTCCTGGTTTTAAATCAGGCAGTGTTCCATTGTTTGCACATCAGTTTCTTGGTCTAGGTTTCACATGAGTATAATTAAATATTCTGGGATTTCCATTCTTCTCAATGTTAGCACAATTTTGTATGACTCACGTAGGTGAATATCTTCCCATAGTCAATAAATCATGCCTAGTAGCACCTCCTCTTAATTGTTCAAAAGTTTTCAAAGGCTGGTTATTTTAGAAGTGGAGGGCCATTACTTCTTCTTAGTCTGTCTTAATCTGGAAGTTCCACTAAAACCTGTCCACCGTGGATGATCCACTGATGTTAGAATACTAATGGCACAGCTTCCAGCATCACAGAAATCAGCAGGCTTCTTGAGCACAAAAAACTGACAGACAAATATTGTACTCATAAGGGCAAAGTATGAACAAATAAGCATGTTGTTATATTCTCTTATGTTGTTTGCGCATCATAGCAATCCTATGTACAACAGCCTCAACCCTGCTCTATCTTGAGCCGACATATATGCACAAATTATAAAGTAAGAAGGACCATGCAAGTCAATAAATCTCCTAAGGCCTTTTTGGGAGATTTGGAGGCCATTTATGCAATTTATCCTTTTACCTTCCTTTTACATATTTGGTATGCTTTTGTTTGGTATATTGTGAAACTACTTTTTCATTGTTTTAGAGTAGGAATTGGAGAAAGAAAAGAAGAAGCCCCCCTATCTCAAAGTGTCATGGAATGACCAGCATTTTATCACCCCTTTGCTCTATGAATATTTTGTATGTGAGTGTTTGAGAGTTGTTGACTATTAAGTACTCTTATCCTAGTAAGTCCATCTTTTCTGTTTCCCATCTCCTGCTACACTCTGCAGTACTCACAGGCTCCCTTTGGAAAGAAATAAAGAATGTGTTGGAGCTGATTGTAGTTTTCCACATTCATAGAAACAGCACGTCTCATTATACAGTGATTGGGTGTTGCTAATCCCTGACAGTGGCCTCAGTGAGACTGAGGGGTGTGGTTTGTCCTCCGCTTCCCAGTTAATATCCTCTCATCCTCCTACTCTGTCCCAGAATTAATCTTCCATAAAGTTGATAGGGTAAAAGAAGATAGGTTAGTTAGATGTTTTAAGTACACTGTTTGTCATCACAGCTCTTTGGCAGTGATGAAATTGCAAATACTGTCACTGGGGAGGTCGAATGGGGCTATGAAGTAGCCTTTTCTTGAAGAGGGTGATGGTAATGAGAATGATGTTGAGAATGGGGTGTCAAGAGGCTGCATCAGCAGAAAAGTCTTGCTGTTTGCTCTCAGAGGCAGTTTTGTGGCAGATTTTGGGAAAGGGCGCTCGAGTGGCAAAATCCTGCTCTGCTCACCCAAAGTGGTACCTCTCTGATGGTTCAAACTCTCTAGCAGACCCATGAGAGGAACTTGAGCAGTGTCCTCCCTTTTGTGGTTTACCGTCTTCGAAGAACCAGATGGAGAGTCAGCTGTGAATTGATTTTAACTTTGGGGAATTGACTCAATAAGTTTGAGTGGCTCCTTTTTTTTTAAAGTGAGAATTTTGGGGAATGACATCTAGAAGTAAGCTGACTCTGCTTTTCCTGTTCCAGGTAGTGAGGAAGGCTCTCCAGGCACAGCCATATGGACTCAAGAAGTCAGCTTAGGATAATTTTGTAAGATTTCTCTATTACAGGAGAGAATATTATTGATCTGGAGAGCTGCTGTCCGGTACTGTGGCCATTGGCTGTATGTGGCTAAAGAGCACTTCAATTGTGACCACTCTAAATGAGAAGTATTGTCAGGACACCTTGGATAGTGTGTTTTCAAGAGCTGGTATAAAAAGTGGAGTGCAAAGTAACTGAAAATAAGTGATACTTCCTGTCCCTATACCTTTTCAGTCTGTATGCAGAACAGAGCATTTGAAAGGCTGGACATCAACAACCTGCATTATGCAACAACCTTACTTACCAAAACTGAGGAGGACCTGAAACATGTGCTGCAAAAGAAGGTCAGGGACTGCTGTCTTCAATATACATTGAAGCTCAACATCTAGAAGACACAGATTCTCACCAATTGACAGCACTGTGATAGATGGAGAAGAGATTGAGATTGTTAATAATTTCAGCTTGCTCAGCTCCACAGTCAACACCCTTGGCACCGCTGTCAGGAAATAAAAAGACAAATTGCAATGTGAAAATCTGCTGTTGGGGACTTCTCCAGAGTACTAAAGAGAAATGATATCATTCTAGAGACTAAGGTGTGCCTAATCCACGTCATAGTCATTGCAGTTACTTGCTATTTATCAGACAGCTGGATGATTAATAAGGATGACAATAAGAATCAATGTCTTGAGTTGTGGTACTAGAGAAGACTATTTGAACATAACCATGGACTGCTAAGAGAGCAAACAGATTTGTCCTGGATAGGGTGAAACCAAGTTGCTCCTTAGAGGTAAGGATTCTGAAGCTCCATCTCACATACTTTGTGTATGTTGCCAGGAGGGACCTGACCTTGGAGAAGGCTATCATTCTTGGAAGAGTAGAGTGTCAGCACAAGAGAAAGAGACCCTGGAAGAAATGGATTGATACAGTGTCTGGGTAATAGGGGCAGGTGTGTTGGAGACAGTAAGATTGGCTCAAGATAGGACAAAGTTTGGAGGTAATTGTACATAGGATCACTATGAGTCACAGTTTATTCGATAGCACATAATCACAACATGAAATACAGACTGGATTAATTTGGATACACTGGAATAAATAAAATATAAACAAATCAATCCCCCCACTTCTTATAGTGTAGTTGCTGGAAATACTTGAATTAAATGCATGGCTCCTATTGTGTTTCTGCTGGGCAGTGCTGGACTGGATTTTATGAACTCTCCCAGCTGCAGAGGCTTCAATTTCCCCACTAGAGGGAGCTAAGTTCTAGCTTCAGGAAATGGTTTTCTGCAAGTCCATTCCTCTGCTCCTGAATGCACTCTTTCCTACAAGAAAAAGGAAAGAATTCTGCTTTTCACTTGGGTTTAATTCTACATAATTCTATGATTTCCTGACTTTTGTTTTATATGAAAGTGAAGCCAAAATAGAAAAGGGAAGAGACAGACAGGCTCACTACCCTTTCTCCATGAATAAAACCAGAGTTTCTATGAGTTCTTTGTTGAGTTATGACAGCTTGCAGTTGGTTTGCTGAAGGCTTCCTTGGAATTATGTCTGCACTCTGTGCCACACACAACATGTGGTGTGTTTGTAGCTGCAGCTGAAAGGGTCGGTTGCCCAACTGCACCTCATTCCTCCAGCTTCAACATTCTATCAACACTGCTGTAATTTCTTGATTGCTTGTCTGTTTCTCCAGTGTACAGCAAGCCCTGGGAGAGCAACAGCTATGTCAGTCTTGTGCTCTTTCATGCTGAGTACCTCCCACTAAGCTTCTTATTGTATTCTCACTAAAAGGATTTGAAAAAAAAATTTGTATTATATATATTAGAAGCAGGAGTGGCATCCACTTCCTCAATGACATGCCTCTGGAAACACTATGAACTTTGAGAAACGACTATGGTTAGAGAAAGGCTTCAGGTCTTTTGTTCATAGGGTCATTATGAGTTGTGCTCCATTCGACGGCAAGCAACAACAACAACAACATATATGTATAAATCTATTGTCACCTTTATTTACAATAGGCCTATTACATTATGTTACTATATTTTATAATCTTGTTAGCTGACATCAAGTCAATTCTAGTGCTTCCATACACAGGACAAAATGCTGCCTGTCCTGCACAATCGCTACAATCAGTTGGTCATCAGACTGGTTTGGAACAGACTTTTCAATGGCTAATCATGGGAGCCTCGCTTCCTACTCTAGCTTTAGCCTGGAAGCTCTACAGAAACCTGTTCAGCAGCATAGCAAAATACAAACCTCCATATATATATTTAATGGTGGTGCAAGGAAACACATACAAGAATTAGACCTGGGTCTCCAGAATAGGTGAGAATTCTAACACTGAATCACCTTTACTCCCATAGTTGTGTTAGCATTATATCATATAATGCAGTCCTGCTCATGAGAGTTTTGTATCATGGTCCATTATACATTTTTTAAATGGTCTCTACAGTAGCATAGAAGCCCTGGTGGTACAGTGGCTAAAGCACTTGTCTACTAACCAAAAGGGCAATGGCTTGAACCCATCAATCACTCTATGGGGGAGAGATGGGACAGTCTGATTCTGTAAAGATTTATCATCTTGGGAACACTATGGGGCATTTCCCCTCTGGCCTGTAAAGCTACTATGAGTTAACACTGATCTTGGCAATGAATTTGGTTTAGTTTGGATATACAGAGTATTGGTACTATACTTTCTCCAAGCTTCCTTCTGTTAGAAGCTTTTTTCCATAATCACCACTTTTTCAGTGACTTTTATTACAAGGTGAAGGGAAAGTCCCATCAGCCCCAGCACGTATTTCCAGGAATCCAGGTCACAGAAAATTGGAAAGAAAGATCAAGGATGTTGGCATATTCCATGCCATTGCTTGCTTATCAGGCAGCTTTTCCATGGATGGATTCCAGTTTCCTTTAGTGCCCTTGGGATTCAATCAATCTGTAGTGGCATAGTCCATAGGGGTTTGCAGTGCTAACCCAGATGCTATGTCTAATAGTTCGAATCCACCAGTTGTTCAGTCTTTTCCTGTGTGAAATACAGCTTTGGAAACCTGCTGACGGGTCATGTCTGAGCCGGTTCCACCTCCACAGCAAAGAGCTTGAGTTTAGACTTGTGGCTAATGGAGACTGTCTCTCTTGTCAGAACATGAAGAGGAACTGGACCAAGAATTTGAGCTGGAGACTGACACTTTGTTTGGAGGACTGAAGAAGGTATGTCCTGGACCCTTGATAAACTTTTAAACTTCCAAAGCTGGTTACAATATTTAGTATTACCTTTGTATTTAGTGCTAATCCTGCCAAAGTATTCAGTAGCATTTTGGAATTAGTAAAATATTCTTTTGTAGCATTATACACACACTGCATTAGGTAAGGTGTTCTTCAAGGTCATTTATCTTTTTTGTTCTCTGCTCTGTTAAAATACCATTAATTTAATTATACAACCTTGTTAATTAATAAAACTTCACTTCCATAAACTTTAGGACGTTTCCCACCCCCCCCTTACTTTATCATATCTATTAGAGTCTAATGTGGTCCCCAGCTTCTTAACTCTTGGCAACTATTTTTGTTTTTTTGTGGTGTACTGTTGAGTCATAACTGACTCATAGCTGGCACTGAGGTAGGTTTTCAGAGGCAGTTAGTCACATGGGAAGAGATTGCCCATCTTTCTCCTGCAGGACAGCTGGTGGATTTGAACTGTGTGCCTTCAGGATTGCAGTGTAGCTTCTTAACACTAGGCCATTGGAGCTCCCTAGAAGAATGTCTTTATCCTTTCTGCTCCTAGTGCTACTGGTCATCTACACTGTTGCAGAATACACTGCCCTTTCCACTCCTCTACCCTTATCTTAGTCTCCCAGTGCTGCTGTAACAGAAACACTACAATTACATATCTTTAAATAACACAAGTTTCTTACAGTTTAAGAGGCAAAAAGTCTGAGTTTAGCTCATAGCTCCAGGAGAGATGGCCTTTCTTTGTCTATTTCAATCCTTAGAGTTCCTGAGTTTATAGACTTGTCTGCCTCTGTCCACTTCAGATAGAACCCCTTTCCCCACTGTGCTTGCTGATCTCAGTGTCTCTGCTGCTCTTTGTATCATTCAGAAGTGATGAGCTTTAGGACCCACCTATTTTGATTAGGACCCATCTCTTTAACCTAACGAAGGAGATGACTTCTAAACAGGATGATACCCACATGTATAGAGATTAAGATTCCAGCACAGAGTCTTGGAAAACAATATTCCACCCTCCCCGCCTGGTGCTGCTGTGACAGTGGGCTGGCTCATTAGCCCTCAGCGGCAGTTCACTCTGTGGCTTAGGTAATGAGCACAGTGCCCATTGTCCTGATGGCACACCTATGCCCTTCTGGGTGTGACCACTAGTGCTTCCATTCTTATATAGTATTTTATGTGAAACTACCAGAACCTTCTATTCCAGGAAGGAGGTGTTAGATTATATTTTCGCTCAAAGCAACCTTTTTCTTTTGAGGAGATTCTTCTCATTCTTCTACTTTAGTTTTCTAGTAATTATTGGAGTGGTCAAGCCCCTACTCATAGTTTAGCTCAAGCCTAGTCACTAGCTGAGTATTCGTTTTTTTCCAAGTGTCATAATCAGTTTAAGAAGTCTTGTTACTCTAAGTGCATAATCTAATACCAGGTCTATTGTAAGTTGAGCCAGTTTTAGTCGGCTTTATTGGAGATATGTAAAATGCTGCTTGGATTTTACATCTTGAGCACTTGATTTATAAATAAGTTTTTTAAGGCAGTTCATTTCCAAATTGGGTGCTGCCTGTACTGTTGTTTCCTCTTGACAGCTGAAAAATCTTGCTTAGAATTGTGACAAATTTACCTTGATTTCTATTTTTTTTTAAATTTTCTTAAGTAGCCTGTCTCTTTTCCCATCTCTGAGCAGAATCCCTGTATTGGGTTGTTGTTGTTAAGTGCCGTCGAATTGCAGGCGACTCATAGCGACCCTATGAAGGAGAGTCCTCAACGTTTGGTTGTCTTTCATCCTCTCTCCATGTTCATAGGGTTTCTGGAGGCAAGCTGTTATGGAAGTGGATGCCACTCACAGGTTACCACTATACAGCAAGTGGATACACCAGGGCTATACAACCTGGAGGAATGTTAGAACAAAAACAATGAAAGACAGGCCCATGGGCCCCGTATTAAAAGTCACCCACCTTTGGCTTGGTAGCATCACTTTCTGTCCACTGGGCCAGCTGATCTCTCTCTCTATGTTGATGTTATTGCTGTTAAGGGCCATCCAGTCACAGGCGACTCATAGCGACCCTATGAAGGAGAGTCCTCAATGCTTGGGTGTCTTTCTTCCTCTCTCAAGGTTCATAGGGTTTCCGGAAGTTGGTGCCACTCCTGCTTCCAAGCTTGTTTAATCTGGGAGTGCCACCCCAATCTGGCCGCATTGGGTAACCAACCATTAACGCATTTGACACATCAGTGTCACAGTGTTCAGCTTCACAGCAACCACAAGTTACCACTATACAGCAAGTGGACACACCAGGGCAATACGACCTAGAGGAATGTCTGAACAAAAACAATGAAAGACAGGCCCAGGGGCCACAGATTAAACATCACCCACCTTTGGCTTTGTATTGGGTAGAAGACCTATAATTGGGAGTAGGAAAATGTCCTACCATGAATGAGATGCCCCCTCCTGGCTTATGTTGCTTTATTCACCAGATGTGGTGGTGTTGTTATGTGCTGTTGAGTCGCCTGTGATTCATAGTGACCATATGTACAACAGCCTTAAATCCCACTCTATCCTGTGCCAATCTCACTGTCTCAGACACACCCACCCCGATTATCCCAGTCACTGGATCAATCCACCTCAAACTGGGTCTTCCTCTCCTGTGCTATCCCTCCACCCTCCCAAGCATGACATCCCACTCCAAGGAATGGTTCCTCTGTGCAACCTGTCTAAAGTATGTCAGATAAAGCTTCAGAATCCTTGACTCCAAAGAGCAGCCTGGCTTCATCCTCTCTAGGATGAATCTATTTGTTATCCTAGCAATCCATGGGATATTCAATACTCTTCTCCAACACCACAGCTCAAAGGCATTAATTCTCTTTCTTTCATCCCTAATCATCATCCAGCTCTCTGGTGCATATCAAGTCATTGAAAGGCCATGGCCTGTCTCAGGTGCATCTTAGCCTCCAGACTGACATTGTTTCTCTCCAGGACTTTGTAGAGTTCTCTGACAGAAGACTTTCCCCAATGCAATACGTTTTTTAATTTTCTGGCTGCTGGTACTAATAGTGTTGACTGTAGAGCCAAGCAAGCTAAAGCTGTTAAACATCTCTATCTCTTCACCATCCATCCTGATGCTGCCAGTTGGCCCACTGGTGAGAATCTTTATCTTCTTGACATTGAGCCTCGATCCATACTGAAAGCTGCAGTCCTTGGCTCTCTGCAACAAGTGCATCAGGTCTTTCTCAGTTTCAGCAAGCAGGGTTGTGTCATCTGCATAATGCAGCTTGTTAATAGATCTTCCACCAATTCTGACACCACACTTCTCACAGAGTGCAGCCTCTCGGATAATCTGTTTTGCATACAGGTTGAAAAGGTATGGAGATAGGACACAGCCCTGGCGTACACCTTTCTCAATTTTGAACTATGCAGTGTTTCCTTGCTCTGTCTGACAACTGCCTCTTGGTCCAAGTATAGGTTTCACATTAGAACGATAAAGTGTTCTGGGATTCCCAAGCATGATGATATAGTATGGGAATAGATAAGACAGTGGTTGAACCACATGATGACTGCAATTAATGTACCTAATCTGTACATGTGAAGATTGTTGAAATGCCAACTATATGTATACACACATAGATTTTTGTGTGTATATATACCACAGTTTAAAAAAAAACACCCCATGTCAGTTGTATTTGAGAGGATTTCTACACACCTTTCCCCATTTAAGAGGGTTCTACCCTTGACAGGAGGATGGACCTCTCCTGTGGGATTTACTACCTCCGAAAACCCATAGGAAGGTCAGCTATGGGCTGCTTTTCAACTTTGCAGCCAACAACAACAACAACAACAACAACAACAACAACAACAACAACGACACCCTCATGTCTTACACTTTCCTATTTCTTACCTTTCCCTCTTTCCCCTTGCTTGGAGTGCCCCTCACCCCTTCCTGTCTCGTCCTCACTAACTGCTCAGAGCTCTGCCAGCCAACTCCCTCCATCGAAGTATTGGCTGGAGCCTTACGTTGGTCTGAATATGCATGTGGTTCCTGATACTTCTCTGCCTCATCTCATGTCCTTCCTTCCACAAACACACCTTTCCTTTCTGCCCCAACACACCTTTTAATGTGTGTTTCTATGCTTAAGTCCATGTTGATTGCTGGGATAACTGTTGTGAACCAGTTAGACAAATTTTCCACCTTAATTTCTCTTAGTGGAGAAAGAAATAGTTAATGAACAAATCAAGTAGTTTCAAGTTGAGTTAAAGTTGAAGGAAATAAATAGGGTGATGTGACAGTGATCCTTTGGCGTCTAGCTCTTTCACTCTGCTATGAGAAAACTAGATGCACAAACTTACTTGCACTGTCTCTCCCACATTAACATATCAGCACCACTAGGGAAAAATTTGGATTCTGTGATTTCTGTAATTCCAGCACTGGGCATAGGCTAGATGAGTTTTCTGTTGGATTGAAGCATGAACAACACTGCACTCAGTTGCAACATGGAAGTAAAATGCCTCAGTCCTAGGTAGGTATTTGGGAGCACATGCAGCTAGAAGGTGCCTTCTAATCAGCCCCTGGCTCATAGCAGCCCCAAGTACAAACAGACAAATTGGTGCCAAGCCCCTGCCACCCCCGTGATTGATTGAATTGGAGTCCAATTGGAGTCCAATTGGATTGGAGTGGACTGGAAGTTGTGATCCATTGGATTTTCAGTATTCAGGTTTTCTCTCTTTTTTTTTTTGTTATTTGTGCTTTAAAGGAAAGTATATAGAGCAGAGTAGTTTCTTATTCAACCATCCATCCATACTTTATTGTATGACATGAATTATAATATCCCCATTGTAATCACGCTCTTTCAGACTATGTACCTGTCTGTGTCTTCCTGTTGTTTAATGATATTATGCTGTAGTTGGTAAGTCCTGTCAAGGTAATTATGATTAACTGTAATCTTATGGAAAGCAGATCAGAACTGTCCCCTGTGTGGTGCCATCCTCCTGATCTCTGGCA